TCCTGGGTAGTCTGATATTTCATCAATTGCTATAGTGGTTATCTCCAGACAGTGGTCTTTGATTTCCCGCTACAAGGCAGTTATGCATACACAATCTCCGAGACCTTTGGAATGATAAATTCTCCTTTTTAAAACCATCTGACAAGGATGATGATGGTATCATAGGGAATATCTATTGGATTTCTATACAAGTCCAAACAAAGGAAGCCAAATTCATCAGGGGCAAAATTGGCTGGGGCAAGAAGAAATTGTCACAAGTCTAGATTTGCCAGGATGCACACTGGTGCAAATAAATAATGAAGAATGCCCATACAATCATTCTCACCATTGATCAAGAAAACATACATCAACACATATATACATGTTACATGAAATTTGCATATTTGCATCAAACATTCATCATCGTGTGTAATAAAGACTTTGATATTCCCTCCCATGAGGATACTTTTCAAAAACAATTCACTTGAAATTTTGTCTTTCTTAAAGACATTGTCCCCTCTCATGAGGACAAATTCAAAATTCATCAAATCAAACATAAAATAAACTTTATCTTGGCATCCATCATAACATCCAAGATAGTCATTCATAAATGTATCATTCTGATCTTTCAGGAAATCAAAGTTTGGTGATGACCAAATGTCCTCAACATGAAGAAACAATTTTGACATACTGAAGTCAACGATAAGATCTTCTAGAGGAATATCCTCAACATACAGAAGTGGGCAGTCTATAGGCCTTGGAGATCGTCTCTCAAAACAAATTTTGTCTCAATTGAGATGGTTTTCCATAAATTTTGAAAATTTTGAAATAAAATTGATCTCACTTGAGATTGTTTATTTCAAAATGAATTTCGTCTCTCTTGAGACAGTTTTCTTGGGGGAAAAATTGAAATTTTTCACTTGAAACAATGTAACACCCCAACCGTATCCGAGTCCAATATGTCACATTGACTTTCAAACTTTAACTCTTAAAGAAAATCATGAAAATTTTAAACTTTCATTAAAATAAAAGATGTTAATTCACACAAGTTGGACCAAATAAACAAAATCAATTAGAGCATTAGCAATTCACAATTTCGTTACATGCTAACACACTATATACAACCAAATATCTACACTTAACTACAATTCTGATCTGATCTGTGGAAATGAGAGTCTGACTGTCTTGCTCCTCTTCACTTCTCCTCTCGCTTTTTAGAACCTACGTGTGAAACACTCACACGCTAAGTCGATGACTTAGTGAGGCAAATAAACATATAATGTAAACTATAACTTGTAATCATGCATGAATAATTACTGTATTTATCATACCACTCATATCCTTATTCATGTAACAAATACACTACATACATGTCATATCATTCATATATCTTATTCTCTTGTTCATATAATCTCTCATGTTCATATATATCTTAACATGTATTCACTTATCATATAACATATACAATCAAGCAACTATATCATCATATTCATTTTTATCACTATCATAGATTCCTTTTATCAAATGATCTTATAATTACCATTTGTACAATCATATATCATACATAACATTTCACAAGGAAACAAACATATCATCATATCAAGTTTATTTATATTATCTCTTTATTAGCCCATGTACACATATGAGAACTAAAGATATGCGAGTACATAGAGGTTGTGCACTATGCTGTCACCACAGCTCATATAATTCCCTTAAGGGGCACTGAATATTTTTCCCGAAGGACACTTTTTATCCAAGGACCACTGATAATCCCTCGACTCTTGGCATGCCAACTATACCCCTAGCTCTCATATCACATAACATGGGCATTATCTTTTATACCATTACACATCTTCACATAGCCACATAGCTTTTCACATAACATTTCCATTTGCACATGTAATTACTTAACTTATTTTCACATAGCTCATGTTCCATATTCATATCTCATAAGCACGTAGCTCATATTACTTATTCATATACATTCACATCACTAATTCATATAAGCTCATGTATTCACATGGGTCATTTCTCATAGCATATCACATAGCTTCACAACTCATCTCATATAATTTTATGCATATACCCTTACAACATACAAAGTTTATACTAATTCCATATATTTACTTAATTCAACCTCACATATTTTATTATCTAAACCTATATTCACATATGATTTCCTATATAATTCTTATATAACTTCTATTAAATGTTAATATAATAACTTATGTTAGTGTTTCTTAGTTACATCTGATTCACATTTTCTATCATATATATACATCAATGTTACTCACTTATTTCAGTCTCATTTAATCACACGAGTCCATCATATTAGTTATCATATTTCACATAAATCATTGCCCTATAATATACTATATGTCATATAGTTACCTTCCACTTATAACATTCCCTAGAGTTTGTGTACACTCATTATATATTTACCCATGGTTCTTATATCTTCACCTAGTCATATAGACCCATAATTCCTCATTACCTACCCTATATTACATGTTATATAATTCTGGGTATTTATACCACCAAGTGTATACCACTTTCTCTTGTTATTACTTAAATCTTTATTATCTACATAGTTCATGATCATATAACCTATATCATCTTCTTATCTAATCACATGAATTAGAATATATATATATATATATTCATATGATTTACTACTCTAACATATATCCATACATATCATAATATACACATATACTTATACCAACCACATGCTTATATTCATTAATTCATGTATTCTAATATAGGAAATAGACTTAACACAAGTATTATTTCCATGAATCACCATATAAATACACTATGCACTCACCTTAGCCTTGCTTTGGTTCGATCCTAATTCTTCAATTGTTCTTGAACATGATTACGCTCTAAACCTACATAGTAATACATTGATACGTATCAGTATACTAATTGATATCTTCTAAACTATCACTTCTTGGGCTAAAAGAAAGACTATTTTCATCTTTTAATGAAGGTATGCATCGATGCACTCTACAGTGTATCGATGCATTCCTTAACGTGCATGATGCACTCTCTGTGCATCGGTACACATTTACATTCGATGTTTTCTTCTTAAGGGGGTGCATCGATGCACTAATTGTATTTGATGTTTATTTATTTGAGAGTGCATCGGTACCCATTGAAGATGTACCGATGTACACAACCCAGAAATGTCATTTTGAACACGAAAATCCCTTCATTTTCCTCTCAACACTTCATATTTCACCTTCTTTAATATTCCTAACTTTCATACACATATTTACACTTATTTCTACTCAATAATCACTTCTTTAACCTCCCAATCATATCTTTTATATGACATTCAAGAATCATACGCAAATATCAACATGTTCCAAATCTCATTCTAACACTTCATATTCCTTATTTAGATTTATGACAAGTCAAATTCAACTTCCAATTCTAATTATCAACTATATCAAGATTTCATTCAAGAACTCATAATCTTTAATCTCTCCTAATTCCATCATCTTTTGATTTTAAGATAACTTAAGTTTTCCTTAAGCTTAGTTATCATCTAATGATCGAAACCCAACTTAAATTTCAGCTAATAATCAACTATTAAGAAATCTTACCTTTCAAGTTGGAGTCCACGGCTGGGAGAAGGAAGAAGAAAACTCTGGAAAATCTCTCATTTCCCCACGTGGTTCCCTTATCTTATAAGAGGGAAAAAATATCTTTTATGCTAAATACCATTTTGCCCTTTGATTCCTTTAATAATTACTAAAACCTTCAGGAAATATTTCTGAATAACTCATTGAACTATTCAAATATCCTACTTTAATCACCACATTCTGAAGTTTTACAATTTAGTCACTAACCCATAGTTTGGGATGTTACAAACAAAATTGCTGACATTTGATATTGTTTTTTTCGTCTCGCTTGAGACATATTTTCACAAAATTTGTCTCGCTTGAGTAGTTTTCTCTAAAAACAAATTTCGTCTCGCCTGAGACAGTTTTCCCTTGAGATGCAAATTTTGAATTTGTTTCACTTGAAACAAAGTTGATCTCACTTGAGATTATTTTTCTCAAAACAAATTTCATCTCACATGAGATAGTCTTCCTCAAGACACGAACATTTGAGATTACTTTTCTTAAAAACAAATTTCGTTTCACTTGAGATAATTTTTCTTCAAAACACAAAATTTGAAAATTGTTTCACTTGAAAAAAATTTGATAAACTTTGAGATTGTTCCTCTTGAAACCAGTTTTGTGTCTTTTGAGACTTTTTCTCTTGAAACATACAACCTTTAAGATTGTTTCCCTTGAAACTAGTTTTTTCTCTTTGGAGATAGTTTCTCTTGAAACATACAACATTGAGATTATTTCCCTTGAAACAAGTTTTGTTTCTCTTGAGACATTTTCTCTTGAAACAAATTATCCCTAAAGATGGCAAGCCATCCTCATAACGTAAGAATTGTGTCATCCACCGACCATATCTCCTCATCACGTAGGAGCCGCGTTATCCTCGGATAGCCAAACTTCCTTATCACGTATGAACCATGTTATACGCCTTTATCCCTAAAGATGATCAGACGTCCTCATCACGTAGGAACCGTGTCATCCACTGACCAGATCTCCTCATCACGTAGGAGCCGTGTCACCCTTAGATAGCCATACTTCCTCATCATGTATGAACCATGTTATCTCCAAATTTACCTAAAAACGACCAGAACTCTTCATCGCGGATGAGCATCGTTGTCTTTGACTATAAAATTTCAAAACAAAAGGGAGAATCGGACAAAAACTTGTTGTCTCGTTGTCTTTACCCTATTCTTGTTAATACAAGAATGTGAAAAGAGGGGCAGCTATAGACACCCGTTTTTGTTCGGGTTCTCAAATTTATTAATTATTATTATTGTTGTTGTTGTTGTTGTTTTGTTGTTGTTATTATTAATATGATTATTTTATTAACAATTTAATTACATTTTGCAGGCCCAATATATTATAAACCCAGAGCCCACAATGACAAAAAACCCAAACCAGATTACAAGCAAGCCCAAATCCGGATCCAGACCCAACCCAGTATCCGACCTGAAGCCCAATAATCCAGACCCAGTTAGGGTTCCATTTTTGTTGCATGGCGCTGCCACCTTTCCAGTCGTTGGATCTGATGGAGATCCAATGGTTCATAGATATCCAGATTAGGGTTTAACCCTAAATATTATCCATCCACCACTGACAACGGGATCTGGACCGTCCATCATCGGTGCGTGTATCAACTTCCCAGCTGCGTGAGCTGTCACCGATGACTTCTCGAGCTGTCGTTTTAGCCATCCATCAAACAGTGATCGAATCTACACCAAATCAATCAAAAATTAAAGCAAATCCAAAACAAATCCTAATGTGTCAATCAATGGATATAGGGTATACTCATCAGTAGATATCATCAATCACATATGTAAATGATAAAAATCAGAGAGAAGCAACAGACAAAGGGGAAGAGAGAAACCGTTCGAAAAAAAACAGAGAGCGCAGATAGATTCGGAGGGGATTTGAAGAGATATGTACCATTAAAAAAACCAGAACCAAATTTAAAGAAAAATCTTTCGAATATGAAAGAAAGAAAGAGAAAGATCTTACCCTTCATCCAAATCTGATCATTGTATCAACGCTGGAACTAGGAAAACCCATCACTGAAGGTATAGCCTTCTTGTCTCTTTTTCAGATCTAGGTTTTCGAGAGGGTAGGTCTCGGTTTTGGGGTGGTGGAAGGGTTTAATTTCATAGAAAATGAGAGAAGAAGGCTAAGGGTTTGTTTTCAGGTAGGTTTTCCATGTCATCATCGGTGATTTATGCCAGTTGTGGCTTTCGCTTTTTCTCCACGACGATGAAGTAGAGATGGGAGGAGGAGAACATTTGAGAGAGTTTCACTCTCTTATTTTGAAGAGAGAGGGAGCGAAATCTGGAAATGGGAAGGGAGGGACGAATTTTGGGACTTATTTTGGCTTTAAATGTAGATCATGATACGACATCGTTTAAAGAGGGGGAGGTTCAGCGTGTTTTCGGGTTTGGGTTAGTAGTTGTTGTGGTCCTTATTATTTTGTAATCTCATCCATGTTTCTAATTTTTCAAGGGCTAATTGCAGTATAAGTCCTTGGTTATGTGTAATATTCTGTTTTAGCCATTAATGGAAATTTGTGATATCTCGTTTTGGGCATCTATTGTTCTCTGTTTATATTTAAGTCCTTACCCTTTTGTATTATACCAGTTCCGTGGATGTTTTACTCTGGTCTCATATGTTGTAATTTTTTCATTTTAATCACTAAATAGAACTTCAAATCTTTTGATTTCCAGCTTCAAGTTTGATTGCTTGTGTTTTAGTCATTATATATTCTTTATATACATTTGGTTTAATGTCTATTTTAGGCCATTGATTTGTGATTCATTTAGCTTAGATCCTGATATGCATATTAGTGAAATTATTAATATTTATGATTTGGTTTCTGTGTTTGTTGGGCTTTTGTTTTCGTCTTTAAATAATATTTTATGATAAATATTTATTTTGTGTTATGGATATGATGTATTAATTTGATTTCGTTTTGATCATTGTTTGGGTATTACAATTGAAATCCTAATGGTTTATGACATGTTTATGCATGGGTATCTTATATTTTCATGATTTAATCCTTTTATCATTTAATTTCATTTTAGTTCTATTATTTTGATTTAAATGTTTGATTAATACATTGTGTTTATTTATTTTCATATACATAGTATTAAATGTTTACTATTACATTATACGATATAAGTGTATATGTTTAATGGGTTTTCCTTAATCCTTGCATGCTTATAAATATTAATAGTTTTTTTTATTTCATTCATGCTAATTTTAGTTTATGAATTAATCTTGTGTCGAAATTGTGCATATCTCCCAGACTTGATTAAAATTTTATCAATTCATCCAAATATTTTCAAGAACAACGATTTGTAGAATGGGCGTGAAAAGTATTGTTTGATCGAAGTAATGTGATCCGATAAACATTCAAACAAAGTGAGAACTTGAAATAAATTGAAGTTTATTTTTTAAAGCTCTAATTAATTTGTTTTAATTCAAATAATGCAATGCATGATAAAGTAAATAACAATTTATTTTGTTGTATGCAAAATGTCGATTTTCAATTTATATTCGATTCGCGCTTTTATCGAGGAGGGAATATTCTTTTTAGACAAAGAAATATACAAAATAGCTTTCTCGACGGAGAATTGTTAATCTCGAGATTTCTTTTCAAATTAAAGAATTTTTCCTACTAAATAATTTGAAATAAATTAATCAATGTTCAGTGCATGGATCATAATTTAACTTTATATTCGATTTATAATTGTCACTATTACGACAATGCGTAAACAATTGAGTACCAATTTTGGGTGCTATGGGGTGTTAATCATTTCCCACGCGTAATCGACTCTCGGGCCTGTTAAATCAGATTTTTGGTAAACACATACCATTTTTTATCTAAGAAAATAATTTTTAGGTATTCAACTTACCTAACCCAAAGATGTTTTTAAGTATTCGACCTACCTAACCCAAATGTCGATAGCGACTTCTATCCAAAATAATTCAAAATCTCAAATTTTCAAATATAAGTCATAATTATTTTTTTTAAATTAATTGTTTAAAAAAATGGTTATGACAATTATACTAAGCGAATTTTGTTAAGAAAATAAAATTAAAAATATCAATATTGAACAAAGGGGCTGTTTGTTTAGCTCTGAATGGAACCATTTAGCGCATCTGAATGATTTAGTGCTGACTAATTCAATAAAACAGTGTTGAATGATTCAGTACAGAAGTACATTCTGAATGATTCAGAGTCATTATCAAACTACATGTCACATTCAGAGCTTATTCATATAGAGCCTCTGAATCATTCAATATTTGAATCATTCAGCACTTAATCATTATGAAGTAAACAAACATCCCCTAAATTGTTTAACTTGAATAAGTAAGATAATTTATATTTTACGTTTTTAAGTATAGTAATAAATCTAAAATCTCTGATTTTGCCAGTGGGACTGATTGCATATTTTGATAAAAAAATATAAATGAACAAAAGAAGAGAAACAATGCACTGTAATGTGATGTCTTCAAGGTTTCCGATAGGTGTTCCGACGAGACAGAGTCCAGGTTTGAGGGGTCCCTATAAGTAACGGAAATTTAATTAAATATTCTTTTAAATAAAGTTCAAAAGAAGAGAGAGAGAGAGAGAGAGAGAGAGTGTGTGTGGAGGTTTTACGCGCTTGGAGGATTCATCGGTGATTAAGTCGGTGAAATCAGATGAAATGTCTGAGGTGGAGCTAAAGGAAAGGAGGTTAAGATATGGGTAAAATGATATGGAATTGAAGGATTTGATGCAGCGCTGAGGAAAAAAAAAGGAGCAAGGAGAAGAGTAATGCCAGGATAGGGCAGTGACAGCGACGCAAAAGGCGGTTAAAGGCAGTCGTCGGAGAAGCGTTATTTGTGGTAAGAGAGTAGGGATTATCCCTCCGCGAATTTTGTGTTTAAGGAACGCCACCTGAAGAACCCGTACAAATAATTTCAGGTAAACAACACTGGTGGTCACTATTTCTTATAGTTGTTTTATTTTTGTCACCTATTTTCTAAAAGTTTTGTTTTGGTCACTTTATTTATTTCGTACATAATCTAGTGCTTAGTCAAGTTAGAATAGATATTTGGTAAATTTTCACTAAAATTTATATTTAAGTTATACTATATCACTATCTTAAAATTATTATCAAAATACAAACCCGTGTAAAATGAATATGATATTTAATCATTGATCCAAATTATATAATTGATATATTTCAAATTAGGTATGTAAATGAATTAAACGAATACGAACGATGGAATGTTTACGTTCATTCGTTTAATTCTAATTGAATAAACGAATGAACATGAACATCTAAACGAACATAATGTCTTGTTTGTGTTCGTTAATTAAGGAATGTAACTTATTCGTGTTCGTTCATGTTCGTTAGTTAAAATGATAAATGAATGTAAATTAACGTAAGTCAACACAAACAAACTTAAATGAATGCAAGCGAACACAAACAAATGAATATAAAATGTAACTTTCTTTTAAATCAAACAAAAATTCTTAACATAATATAAATTTAAATAAACGAATGAACATAAACGAATAGATTACCAAGCATAAAAGAATATAAACGAATGGATTATCGAACATAAATGAACCAATGAGTCATTTATTCGTGTCCGTTCATTTAATTAAATGAACAGAAAGTCTTGTTCATGTTTGTTCATTTAAATAATAAACGAACATAAACAAACTTACTGCCAAACGATTCATGAACGATTTGTTAAACATTCGATTCTTTTACAAACATTTTTCAAACTAATCTAATATTTAACTTAAATTACAATTATAAATTGAAAACTAAATTAGATTTTTTTACTTCATTTTATTGATGAAAAAATTGAGTTATTGTGATTGTAGATAGTTCTTCCTTATAGTTTGAGTAGAGAGTCACAATCAATAAAAGAACAATCGTTGGCTAATGTCAATGTTACGTATCTCCACGATGAGGTAACAAAGAAATAAGTGAGGATGAGGTGGTTCCATCCTTCCCTTTGATCTTGGTAGAGAGATTTTATAGTGTCTCTTAAAGTTAGTGTTATATGCATGGTCATCATAACATGTAAGTTATTGAGCTATGTGGATACGATCATGTAACAGTAGATCTGGTTCTGATAGGTCACGTGGCGTGAGTTTGTGAAAAGTCATGTTAACATATAGTAGTTTCCCGAAGGGTGTTAGATATTTAAGATCTTTTTTTCTTCTTCTAGGAACCTTCTTTCTATATTTTTAGGAGTTCTCGAGATTCTTTCTCTAGAAGTTCAAAGGTGCAGATGATGTTTAGTGAAGGTACAACATTTGTATCCTTTAATCAAGAAAAAATCGTAAAATGACTTGATACGAAATTTTATTATTAATTGTTATTCGCGTTTTGATAGATTCTTTTTGGGGAGATATTACAATTATTATTTCTTGCATGACTTGAAGAGATTAAGTGTCAACGATTTATTTCTGGTGTGGTAAAATAATGAGTTGTTTTGATCGTTGAGGGTATATTATTCATCGGACTATTCAAGGAGGATGTAAAGTAGCGGTTATAAATCTTCTAGTTTATATATTTGCTCTATTTTTCACTTGAGCTTGCTGTTGCGATGATGCCGATGAAGGCGTTGAAGAGGTGAAAAAAATAAAGGAAATGACTGTCCCTTTTTCCCATATATATGGGGTAAGGGGAGATAAG